AATACTTTCTCTCAATTTCTTTCTAATGGCTCTGATAAGCTTCATTGAAGTCTCAATTTATTTCCTTTGTTTCTCCTTTCTCTTTGCATATTTCTTGATTAGCAAGAAACCTCACCCTTCCTTTCCCACGAACTGGCCTTTCCTCGGTATGCTTCCGGGTTTACTCGTAGAGATACATCGTGTTTACGACTATATAACCGAACTTCTCGAGGCCTCAAACTTAACTTACCCTTTCAGAGGCCCCTGCTTCGGGGGCCTCGACATGTTGATCACCGTTGATCCAGCTAATATTCATCACATCATGAGCTCAAACTTTGCGAATTACCCGAAAGGATCCGAGTTCAAGAAGATATTCGATGTTTTGGGAGATGGGATTTTCAACGTGGATTCTGAGTTATGGAAGGATCTGAGGAAATCAGCTCAAAGCATGATGAGTCATCCAGAGTTTCAAAGGTTTACGCTAAGAACAAGCATACGTAAGCTAGAGAAAGGGCTAGTCCCACTTCTTGATCATGTTGCTGAGAAGAAACTAGTGGTTGACTTACAAGATGTGTTCCAAAGATTCACGTTCGACACTACGTTTGTTTTAGCGACCGGGTTTGATCCAGGGTGTCTCACGATTGAAATGCCGGAAATCGAGTTCTCTAGAGCTTTAGACGAAGCAGAGGAAGCGATTTTCTTCCGACATGTCAAGCCGGAGAAGGTTTGGATGATGCAAAGATTGATTGGGGTTGGAGATGAATTGAAGATGAAAAAAGCTCACTCGACTTTCGACCGTGTCTGCTCCAAGTGCATTGCTTCTAAGAGAGATGAAATAGCTCGTGGGGTTATGAACGTCGACTCGTCTTCTAAAGATTTGTTGACATCTTACATGAATGTGGATACAACCAAATACAAGTTGTTGGATCCAAGTAATGATAGATTCCTCAGAGACATGATCTTAAGCTTCATGTTAGCAGGTAGAGACACTACAGGCTCTGCTCTCACTTGGTTCTTTTGGCTTCTCTCCAAGAATCCAAAAGTAACGACCAAGATACGTCAGGAAATCAACACAAAACTATCTCCAAGAACCAATAATGATTCTGATTTTGATTCATTCAATCCCCAAGAGTTAAACAAGTTGGTGTATTTACATGGTGCGTTGTGTGAAGCACTCAGGCTATATCCACCGGTTCCATTTCAACACAAATCTCCAACAAAACCCGATGTTCTTCCGAGCGGACACAGAGTCGATCCCAGTTCGAAGATTGTGTTCTGTCTTTACTCATTAGGGAGAATGAAATCTGTTTGGGGAGAAGATGCATCGGAATTTAAACCGGAGAGGTGGATTTCGGAGAGTGGAAGGTTGATACATGTGCCATCTTTTAAGTTCTTATCGTTCAACGCCGGTCCACGGACTTGTTTGGGGAAAGAAGTGGCTATGACGCAGATGAAGACAGTGGCTGTGAAAATCATACAAAACTATGAGATAAAGATCATTGAAGGACACAAGATTGAGCCAGTTCCTTCCGTTATTCTTCACATGAAGCATGGTCTTAAAGTCCTAGTCACTAAGAGATGTAATTTGGTCTGAACTTTATGCAATACTTTTGTACTAAACAGTATTGCGACTATATATTTATTACAAGACCACATCTTCTTCGCTTGCCTGTACATTACCGGAGATCTCGAAGCCAAACACTTGGCCGCGCACAATAGCTCTCCTCTTTGATCCTTCTTTGCTTGGACCTCCAAGTAACACATATGGCGTAGACACAACGAGAGAAGACACATTCAGGCACATAATCCTTGATACCATTTAATGCAATCGCAATCGCATCTCCTCAATCCAATATCACAACTCTCCTTGAGACCAGCTGCTAATGCAAAACTGGTTTGCAAGAGGACGTCTTTCATGTCAATCTCCAAATTTTTAGTTTGCTATTTCCTATGTAAACACTACTAAGTTGTAAAGTGGAGTAATTCTCGATATAATAATATAAGTTGGTCGAAGAAAAACAATCTGTGTTTCAAAGTCTCAAAATATCATTAATTAAGATTTTTTTTTTGACTCACTTCAACATTTAATTAACTAGGACTCGAACCCCCCGCGAAATCGGGAGAAGGGGGGGGAGGAAGGAAAATTATTTGTTA